CATCTCACAAACTGCATCGGTAACCGTGTTTTCACTAAGGCTTTTAATTTCCAAACATCTGCTTTTTGTCTGGACACATGACGTCATACACTTTCATTATGCTTATTTGGCGATCTCTTCTGCCAGAATAAAACTTGCTTTCACAGCAGCTTCACTCTGTGATTTTGCTTTGGTGAACATCGTCTGTTGTGATGACATATTTCTCCTACATTCTTCAACCTTCCGTAACTTATCTGCATTCAGGTTTCTAAACTTGTCTTGATGTTTAGTCTCATAGTGCCGTCTCAGATTACAATACTTCATTACATTACATTACATTATCTCCTCAAATTAGACACAGATTTACCGCCAATATCAGTAAGCATATATTCAACCTCCGAGCGGTTTTGAAAGGCTCTGTTGTCGGAATCAACTTTTCTCTTGACCATTGTATGCAGGTATGTGTGACAAACGGATTAACAAATAAACGATTATTGTCGATCACGACGATGCGTAAACACATAGTGGTAGCCATATGAACGAACAACATTAACTTGTAACATATGTAACCTACGGCGTATAACAACAGATTTAAAAATAGCAGAAACGACATCGATATAGCACACAGTAAAATACGACGATACGGTGCTAATTACAACATAAATTACGTGAGACAACACCGTTCAGTTGAACTGTGCGTTCAAAGTGCTATTACTTAACCGGGATCCGATAATGTTGGCAATCAGTGAAGCGTTGCTAATTAGGGCCTATCAACCTGTGCTATTTGCACAGAAACTTTTGAGGCAATCAATCAGATTACCTTGGTCTTGATTTTGACGTTTTGATTGGTGTGCCGAGTTTTTCTAAGTATCTATTTGTGGATATGTTTCTACTTGTATTGTGTATGCGACTGCGGAGGACAATCGAAATGTTGACATATCGCAATCTATGTCTTCTTTCTGCCTTGATCAAATTACGTAGCCGCTACCATGTGCGGACAACCGTTCAGTAGTCTGTGGTCCGGAATGATACACACCGCTCAATGCGCGATCACATTCGGTGAATTGGGTGAAGGCAATCGTCTGGTGACTGGTGGAGTGGGATTGTCGAGGTCATTTGCGGTCCCACAGTGTACGGAAGACGGAGATGTGGAGAAATTACACTTAAAAACATACACACAAACAACGCGCATGTATTGGCTTCAGACATCCGAGGTGGGCGAATGTGTACAAAAGTTCGCACCATGAACGATGGTCGATAACTACCGGAGTGCCCTGGAGAATACGAGGTGTATGACAAGCGCCGAACGTTGTTAAGGTTGAATACCCACGCGCGTGCACACACAGAGAATAGGACCTTGCGTCAGACATGAGGAATAGTAGGATACAGATAATTCTCGATCAGGAAAATTCCTTGCGTAGTTCATCACGTTACAGCTATCCTAAAAACCCTTCCTGCATACATCCACGGCAGTGGTAGCACCAGTCAACAGTATACTGCAGCTCAGATAGGATTACGTAATCTAGGACCATTGAAAATAGCTTTGTTTAAAACCTATCGCGGGCCAGATATAATTGTACGGCGAGCTACATCCGGCCCGCGGGTCACGTGTTTGACACATGTGGATTAGACCATCCATTGATGGTCGGACATCATACGTACTTGTCGTTCACAATGATTCCTCTTTTTGGACGGGCGAATTTTGAATTCTTTTTATCATCTGTGATGTCAAATTGCTTAACGATTGCTTCGTCTGCTGATCTTACACCACATCGGGCGGAATCGGGAAGGAGATTTGCTTTTTGTCCGTCGTTGTCACCGCGTTCTGTAGATGCGTGTCTCTTTGAGCACAATTTTCCGAATCAGGTGCATTTCAATTATTCAGTTGGATTGTTTTCATGATCGATCCTGCTTCTCCGTAGGTCCTTTGAATCTCATACCGCTTGTGGACAAATTTGAAGCGGTTTACGAATACGTGACAAGCGACGGACCTGTGATCACCATGCGCACTAATTTGGACGCCCCTATGTACAAGTTAATTAGCGTAGATCTTACCAAACCGGATAAGGTGAGCATTTTCTTTTTCCTACTTTGTTGTGACCGTTCTCCATTCTTCGACGTTCCGTTTAACAGCACTGCTGTTCCCGTGATACATCGAGCTACGTTGTGGAGCATTTTGTGCGTGCCACTCATGTCAGACTGGTCCGTTGTTATATGTCGTGCGAGTCCGATATTGGCACTCTCTCGTTGTCGGGAGTTGGTGGGCGGTCTCTGACACTTCCTCTAATTCACTGATGAGAAATAGCGATGTACGATTTTTGCGCTAGGACCAATTGGCGTAAATTCCGAGCGTCATTAGTTCCAACTCTACCTATGGTTGGCTGTGATCACATGTGTATCCTGCGATACGACGCTAACCCTGCCCAGATTATTCTGAGCACTTTCGATCTGGACCTGTTCCCCAATGCCTTGTGCATCAGGATATTGTCAGTCTCCGTCTAGATCCTCCCGTAAAAGTCTCTTTACATACTGCTGCATTGTTGGTTTAAATTGCTGATTTAGTGGCTGAGTGTGAAACGTGAGATAAACCACTTCCCTCACACACAGAACCCACATAACCTCCTGATGATTTACTCTGTACTTTTTGCATTATCTTTTTCCCCTTTAGTGGAATGAATCTTTTATGTTGACGATATTCTATTAATGCGACCACATCATTGCCGATGACCACAGACGCATCAGCTTAGTTTGCTCTCTTCCATCACCCTTTTACCGTGCCGGAGTCCCGAATGAAAGGTGCGCGAGAAAGTTTCCGACCGGAGCCACATTGCTTAGGCTACATTTCCACGTTGTAGCAGTTACTAGAGCAGCGTCATGTGACCGGCAGCCGACTGACACTGTTTTTCCATTTCAAGAGCACATTCAGCTTGATCGACCGCTTTCTCCTTGTGGACATACTTGACTGTGAAGATGTCCCCTTGAGATTTGGCTACGTCTATGTGCACGGTACTCGAGAACTGTCAATTCCGTCAGTTCCCAATCCAAAGTTGTTCCATTTCCCCGTTTCGTTTGGATTTTATCGTATTGCTGCCTTTTTTCATCTCTCGATACAAGTATTGGAGTCCTGTCTTATAGAAGTGCTTGGTCCGAATCATGCGGGCGGCACCGTATTGCCGTTCGAAAATCACTATGCACTAGTAAACCCTGCTTAAACTTTCTAATATCCCCCACTGCTGATCTGCGCTTAATCCTTAAAAGCGCGAAGCACGGTTGCTGGACCACCATAAGCCAGTTGATTGGTTTTTTATTTCTAATGATAAGAAGTGGTTACGGCCTATCGATTCATTTGTTTTGGCAGCCTGCGTCTACTGGAACCAGCTGACTTTTTGCAGAAGCGAGAACTGCGTTTTTGAACCCGCCACACTTTTTATCCCAGGTGGGGATTTTCCCAGCCTTTAGATCGGTTTTCCTATGCGGCACTAAAGCCTCATCCTCATTTTACACGTTAGCTATTGTGCAGAAATACAAGCAGATAAGACATGCGAAAAAGTGAGATGCTAACTAGTAGAGAAAACAAAATAAAAGTACGTACTATCATGCTTTCATATCGTGTACCGTGAGTGAGGTCGTGGTTAGTAGGGTCGGTTGAGCGGTATGGGGAAACACAAAGAAGCTCACAAACGCCACTGCGATTGGCTCTTCCCCATAGCAACAATTGCATCAAACCGAACATGTTCATCCTCCTTCGGACCTCTGTCATGCAGTCTGGAAATACCAACCGACGCCAACTTCGAAGGGAAGGACTTCATTTCTCTTGCTCAAATCACTGATTGGCTCCCTCTCCTCTTCTTTCATCCACCTTACCGACGCGCAAGCAGCGCACGTCGCGGGAGTCGGTGTGCTAGCATACGCAACACATCCACCAGAACTTGGTTCGTGAAATAACAATGCTATGCGGTTTCCTTGCTCTTCCTGTACCAAACGCGACACACCGAACACGCTCATTGGTTTGGGAATTCGAGCGCCTACAGCTGTTGACGCCCATTGTTGCCCACTGAGCATCGCATCTACTTATCCACACCAACTCATATGTAACGGTGTTTCCAAGGCTTGTATTGGGCCATAACTGTGCCTGTCGTTCGTTTGACCTGCAAATGAAACTGATATACAGTCCAACCTACCCATGACGATCAGTCACAAATATCCCCAACCATTTTCCTATATTTTCTCATTGGTCTTAACCTGTCTATGGCGTCCACCTGTGTAACGCAACCGCGACCACGCTTTTGTGGTCCCCAGGCGTTATACCACCTGCTCAAGGCGACCACCACTAGCACGACTGGCCGAGATTGCGAGTAAATATATTATGAAAGTCTGTCACTGTATCGCACAAATAGCTTAGATTTTGTTTCAGTGTGTCATAGTTGCCCCAGAAACCACACCTTATGCCCTGTACTGTTTCATTATCGCCCAGGTTCACGCATTCTGTGTTTCCATATTCGATTCCCCATGGTTGACAGTATGCGGTTTCGGATTTCCCTGTCACTGTGGCCAGCCACAGGACGTCTGCGCCTACTGAGGGACCATGGGTGGCTTGCGCTGCACCATCACTTTTCCACCCACACACCCCATATCCAGTGTAAACCCGAAAGAATAAGACCGGGAGGCATATGGATGAGAACCACGTTTCATCAACGGAGCCGGCCCACACTCCTTCACAGGCAAACACAAGCACGCTGTATTTGGGAATCAAGCGCACACAATGCGGTGACTGGACCGTAGTCCTCTCCACACTGAGTGCATGGAACCACTCTTCGAGCCTAGCACGGCCACAAGGACCGTGCACCCGGTCCCCTCCACAACGACCAACTGTCTCCTAGAGGCCGTATGGACGAGGTAGTGGGTAATAGACAGGTAGGCACCTTGTCAACATGCACATCAAGCGCAGCCACACCGGGAGTGTCAAACAACAGCCAATCACTTGAAACGACAATATCAAATAAAATAAATCCAATGATGCATACAGATATGCCGACATAGCTATTCAATAAATGAGCATATGCAATAAATTGGTTGCCAATAAATCTACCATAGGTTCAAGACGTCAGAAGATATATTTTAACTAAATGCCACAAACGCGAAAATGTTATCAAAGTTAACTACAGTTAGCTTGAGCGACTTGTGCAAGCTAATAGAAGACAGTTCACGTAGACATTACTGAGGCAATATACCGAACCAACCAACTGAAATAAATAGACTTAGCATGCAAGCACGCGGTTAGTAAATCGAATGCAGCGTGCCTATAAGCGCTGCGCCGGTTCTGCCTACGTTCTCTACAAGACCCGTCGTCGCTTCGGTAGTGGTCCCGAGTGGCCTCGCTCATGGCTCACTAGGCCTGCCTGACTCAGGCGCTCGCGACCGCATGTGCTACAGCACCATGCGCTCGATGTCGATGGAGTACAACCCATCGGTGCTTGCCGCTTCTTCTCTGCATGTATGAGGTCTTTCTCCCGCATTTCGGCAACTGCTTTCGTGATTAGATCGCGCCATGTACGCCGATCAACCGCCTTCGATTCCCATGACCTGCAATCTAGATTAGAACGTTATAGACTCGCTTTGATCATATCCTGGTAACGTAACTTTGGTTTCTCCACATGCCGCTTCCCAATACTCAACTGACCATTTACTAGTTGGTTCAGTATCCGCGTCGAACGTATACACCACACATAACCGAGCCACCTCAGGTGTCTCAGCAAAAGTATGCAGTCCACTGCATACATCCCACTTTGTCGCAACACTTCCGTGTCTGCCACTCTGGCGCCCCAACCGATGCGCAAAATCCGTCGCAAACAATGCTGATGGAACCGCTCGAGATATCGCACATCCCGATGGTACATCGTCCACGTTTCACTGCCGTATAGAAGAACAGACAGCACCATGGATTTGAAACCCATCAGCTTCGTGCCAATGGTTAACTGATGGTTGTTCCACACTCGGTACTCAAGCTTCCCGAATGCCGCCGTTGCCTTCGACACGCGGATACACAGCTCACTGTGCTTCTGATGGTCAGTCGACATCACACTCCCAAGGTAGCAAAAGCGGGAGGTGGTTTCCAATACTTCAGCACCAATGCTGATTCGCCGCAATACTGCAGATTGCACCTCCGACGAAGGCTAAAAGAGACAGAGAGTTTTGTTTGTATTGATGGTGAGCCCGACTTTGGCCGCTGTCGAAGCCAGAGCACTAATCATATGCTGCAACTCATCCGCGCTGTGTGCAAGCAACGCACAGTCGTCAGCAAAAAGCAACATATGGATAGTTGTCTCACAGACTAGAGTTCTCGCACCAAAACGACGGATGTTCAGCAACCCACCATCAATACGGTGCTCCACACGAACACCGTAAGCACAAGCGGCATCAAAAGCACAAGACAACGTTGCATGAAGATATATATTAAACAAGGCAGGAGCTAAGACACACCCTTGCTTCACACCAGAGATAACTGCAAAGTCATTCAGCTGTACCCTCGCTGGCATACCACTGTGCAGACATTCAATTCAAGTTACAAACTTACTCGGGCAACTAAACCTACCCAACACCAGCCACAATGCTTCGCAGTTCACCGTATCAAATGCCTTGGTGAAATCAACAAAAAGCGAGTACAATGGCTGGTGTCATTCTCTGCACTTCTCCTGCAACTGACGAGCTACAAACACCATATCTATAGTGCTGCCACCCGAACGGAATTCGCACTGCTCTTCCGGCACGTTAGGTTCCACAACCTGACTGACGAGGCGATTGAGCAGGATTCGGGAAATCACCTTGCCCACACAACTCAGCAAGTTGATGCCACGATAATTCGTGCAACATTGCTTGCTCCCTTTGCCCTTGTACAGTGGTAGCACAAGGGCATCCTTCAGCTCAGGAGGCACCTCGTCCTCAATCCATACGCGTTGCACCAAGTGGTGCAGCGCAGTCAACAACGCGGGTCCGCCGTGTTTTAATACTTCAGGCGGGATCTCGGCGGCCCCAGCACACTTTCCGTTTCGGAGCTGAGCAAGTGCTCTC